GTTGTCGATTCCGCAGGGAAAGATCTCGATCGTTCGCGAGACAAAATCTTGAGATTCTGAGAGATTCGAGGAAGCCTCAACGTTTCAGGACGAGAACGAACGGTCGGTGCACGTCGGTGCACTCGAGATTGCAATTCAATTAAATTCCACGGATTAGTTGGATGAAACTTTTTAACGAAACGGTGTCGTCGTCGTCGTCGTCGTGCCGCTATCGAAGATAAAATCGCACGATGATAACGATTTCTACGTTCTCCACAGACGAATCTCTCTGTAATATTGCGTTCTATTCTCCGCTTCAATTGAGAATGAATTTCGAGAAGGAATTTCAACGCGCGTCGCGTTGCATTAGCGCGTAGCAAAGACACTTGACATGCAATATATACAAATGTTGCACGGCACAATAGAGGTAATTGTGATGCCACTGACGAATGGTACCCGTGCGAGTAGAGAGAGAAAGAGAGAGAGAGAGAGAAATGTGGCGCGTCGCGTCGAGTACGAGGGAATCGCGGTTAAGGGGGTGGAAGAAAGAGAAGACGAGGACACACCAGGGTAGGAAAAGCAGGGCACGCGCTTTCACCATTTCGCATGGCGAGATGGAAGCGCGAACGCTATAATGGGGTGGCAACGAGCCCCATGAGCCCTCTTTCTTTGTTCCCTCGGCCGTCTCACTTTTCCGTCGGATCGTACGCAAAATGTTTCCTCCTCTCTCTCTCTCTCTCTCTCTCTCTCTCTCTCTCTCTCTTGCTCCGTCATGTACATATTGTAAAGTGGAAGTACGTAAATCCTGATGCGGACTCGCTCTGATTAAAGCGGGGCATTAGAAATCTGTATTGCAAATATTACCGATTTCACTCGGCAGTCGATATAATTTGTGGAGAACGAGGTGAAGTTAGCTTCTTAGAACTAACGACGAACGAATGAAAGATTAACAGAGATTTCAAATTAAATTGCAAAGACTGAGAATTTTGGCCGTGTAATACTTCTACGCGCGAGTATCGTTAATATCGAGAAGTCAATGTTGCTGAACGGTTTATGAAAGTTTTCGAGAACCATTATTCGATTTATGATTAACGTTGCTGCTATATTCTCTCGTCATTTCACACTTCTGACAGTTTCTAAGTTCGACTGGAGGGTTCTTCAACTGGTAGGATTAGTGTCTTTCTGAAGGAATTTGTAAAGTTCTATTTCTTTCTCTCATTAGTCTTTGGAAAATTGATTTTTCACAGAAGGAAGAAGGGGGAAGGGGATACTTTCGACATGGTTGGTTGAAAAATATACCGTATTTTGAAAGAGGTTCCTTCCTAATTGTTCTCTGTACAAATACCTATCGCACGACACTTTCCTCCACTCTCGTCCTCAAATTCTTCCATTTGCGCTACACTGTTCTAACTGGATTTATGTTTCACGATTCGCGTTGTTCTTTCTTGTCGAGTAGCGTGGAAGTGTGTTTTCTTGCAAAATGGGCTCATATTACATAATTACCGTGAATTAAATTATATAATAACTAAATAATGATTATGATATAATATATAATAATATATTAGAATAATAATAATTATATAATAATTTAATAAGTTAGAAATTGCTCGTTATAATCACTGTGATAATTCCAACGAGCGCGAGATTAGATCAATAAAACTATAAATTATATGATCAGATCAATAAAATATAAATTATATAATAATTAAATAATTATAATAATAATACAATTACTTATTAAATAAGTCACAAACTGCTCGTTACAGTCGCTGTGACAATTCCGACGAGATTAGATGAATAAAACTATAAATTATATGATCAGATCAATAAAATATAAATTATATAATAATTATAATAATAATATATTATATATTATAATATAATATTATATATTATATATTATTAATATTATAATTATATATTATTATTATAATAATATATTATTATAACAATACTTATATAATTACTCATTAAATAAGTCACAAACTGCTCGTTACAGTCGCTGTGACAGTTCCGACGAGCGCGAGATTAGATGAATAAAACTATAAATTATATGATCAGATCAATAAAATATAATAAATATAATAAATTATATAATAATTAAATAATAATTATAATAATAATATATTATATATTATAATATAATAATTATTATAATATATTATAATATAATATAATATATTATTATAATAATAATTATATAATTACTCATTAAATAAGTCACAAACAGTTTCTTACAGTTGCTGTGAGAGTTCCGACGAGCGCGAGATTAGATGAATAAAATAGAAATCTGTATCAGAATTGGAAAATAAATAGAGATGAACGGACACGAGCGGCTTGTTGAGTTACACGTGTAGCTACATGTGTCGATGCACGTAGCAGAGGCGCCGATGGACGAAATAAAATTATCTTAACTGACCTAGTGTAACAATTGCGCTATTCAGAGCACCAGCAGAGATCGAGTGTTGACAAGGAACCGTGTATAGCCGGATAATCGTAGGTGCGAGTTCCGATATCAGAGAGATGAAAAAGGCCGACGGTAATCCTTGCCGACTCGCACACAACCGCGAGCGAGCGCGCGCGGTTCTTACATCGAAAAAATCCAACAACGTTTTCCCCCTTCAAACAACGTTTTCTCTCCTCTGGGATTCTGATGGACTTCCTTTTTCTTCCTTCCTTTCTTTCTTTCCTCCTCCTTTCCTCGGACGTGTGAAAGTTCAAGCGGAGTTTCGACTCTCGGTTAAAAATCGGGACACCGTCGGGAGGAAATCGGTTCGTCACGTAGACAGCGTGTTTTCATCGACTGTGGATTAAACTGTCCGAGTGTACGATCCGAAGGGTTCCGAATTCTCTTTCTTCTTCATTTTTCTCGCTCAGACGACAATCTCCCCGCGATAAGATTTAATGTTGTTTCGTGTTTGTTTACGATTTTTTTTTTGCACGAATGATTATACTTAATATGGCAAATATTTGCCATTTTGAACAATATCTGCCACGGTCTGCCAGCCGAGGAAGGAAACGATACTCGAATATTTGTACACGGTTGACTCTTCGTGCCTTGTTTATTCCAAGTCGTTCGTTCATCAATATTTGAGTTTGTTTTGGAAAATTTCAAATTCTGAAGACAGAAATTTACTGTTGTACCGTGTGGCATGCATCTGAAGCTTTCGCGATATTTATTTAGAATCCTTTTCTTTTTTCTTTTTCAAATTACGTTCGTAGAAATGTAAAACTGGTGTCTAAAGAGAAAATTTACTTTATACGTTTGTTCTGCATGGAAGCTTCTCGTTTTGCTAAGCTTGCTTTTCACCCAATATGAAAGAGTGTACCTGTACTCCCAACAACGACCGTTTCATTTCTTTTCTATTATCTACTGCGAAAATGTCCCAAGTGCTCGTACACACGATAACGATCGAGCGCAATCTGAGCAAGATTCGAAATTCGACGTGTCATAATATATTGTTTCCAACGTTTGAACAGCCACGATACTTGTGTGTATACTTTCAATCCCCGGTCACCTACAGTGTAACAGATACGGAAATCTCCATTTCTCCTGCACACACATTTAAGTCAAGTCAAAGTTACAATATTTAGAAGAACGGCTGTCATACAGAATCTTTTTCAGGCTCCGAGTCAAACTTTGTCGGTGTATTATACACGTGGATGTAATTAAGAAATTATTTCAATCATTAGTATCAATATTAAATTAAATATCCGACACTGGTTGAGGTTTTGTTAAAAAGTTGCAGTGAGAATTTCAAAATCAGTAAATTCTTACGAATAACTTAAGAAAAAAAAAAGAAAAAATACAAAAACGGAGATCACTAAGCGAGTAATTGATACGTGTTGTAAATACTTATACAAATTGACTAACTCTAGAGTAACAAATTCAGTATTTTATCTATTTTATATTGAACTGAAACTATATTGCTTCAATTCGACTGAATAACAACACTGAAATTTATATTGAAACGCCTATTATTAAGTATAGTTAACAATTGTGTCGATTACGAATCACAAAAAGTTTGAAAAATATACGAGACAATGTTTGAAGCAAAATGCAAGGTGGAACCCTCGAGAGAGAGAGAGAGAGAGAGAGAGAAAAAAAGAGAAAAACAGTATATACTGGAGAAACTTTGGCACAAACCAAAGCGTAACATAGTGATCTCGGTGATTTCGGTGCCAGCCATGCTGGATCCCAACAATATACCATCGAAAAGTCTAAGGTCGAAGCTTATTCGTGATGTCTCGAAGGCCTCGAGCACTGTTATCGAGGAGTGGTGGATTAACGTACACGCCTTTGATCTCGCCGGTCACCGAGGCCTTATCTAATCGTTTTCCTTTCTCCCGTTCCATCTCTCTCTCTCTCTCTCTCTCACACACACACACACACACACACACTCTCTTTCTCTTTCTCTCTCGGGGCGTTTCGCAGCAGTTTCAGTTTCCTTCTCATTTTACGTATATACATATTTCGTGTAATCGTTTCGAATGCCACGTCGAAATTCACGCCTCGTCCGGCTCCTCTTTCCTCTTCGAATTCTCGTCATTCTTCCTCGAATTCTCGCCTACATCCGATTAAAAAATTCGTACGCAGCACGAACTTAAAATTAAAATCCACAACGAGCGTTCAGACTTGTTGTTGATACGCAAGTAGATATTTTTGTGATCTCTGTGGAAAACACGCCTGTAGTTTCTTTGCGAAAATTGTAATACATACATACATACATACATATATATATATATATATAACTTCCTGATATATGAAAATATAGAGTTTTTATTTTTTATTTTTATTTTACGTGTGGCATGATCTAGCAAATTATTACAAATCTCGTTTTATTTATACAATTATTAATAGTATTCGAGCTCGTATGATCGTCAAGAGAAAAAAGGTGTTATCTTTGTTAAAACGCGTTATTGACAAAAGAATTAGGGAGGCAGATATTAAATATCTAATATAATGTCGACTGTTATCTATGTTTTCTGATTTTTTTTTTTTTCTTCTTTTTCTTTCACAGGGAGGACTCGAACGAAAGACAAATACAGAGTGGTCTACACAGATCATCAAAGACTGGAGCTTGAGAAGGAATTTCATTACAACCGTTATATCACGATCCGCCGAAAGACAGAACTGGCTATCAGCCTTTCGCTCTCTGAACGACAAGTAAGTGACATATGTACATGTATGAATATTTGCGATATTAACGTTACAAAAGTTTTAGAGTCGAAGAAGAATTAGAAAATAAAGAGCACATGCTTTTACTTGTATCCCTGTGGCTTCTAAAAATAATGTATAACTTTTTAGTAAAAATCAAATGACTTCTATGATCCATTATATTTCCATCAATTCAACTTTCCAAAATTTCTGAAATTTCTTAGAATTTCTGAAATTTGTCTGCGTTTCGAACTTCCACCGTCTAACGATGAAGATAGTAACTAGTTGCTGTTGCAGGTGAAAATCTGGTTTCAAAATCGACGAGCGAAGGAGAGAAAGCTCTTGAAAAAACAATTAGAATTAGAGCAAAGATTGGAAGCAGCAGTGAACGGGGAGACGAGCACATCTATGGCTAATCTAACGATCAGCGGAACATCAACAGGAACAGCGAGAATGGAAGGAACGTCGAATGGTTTGCCTAACGGTCTTAATTTTGGGCATTCGTCTCATTACGTTCCTCGAATTGAGTCGACGAGTACTATTATTTCTACCGATATTCATCCTCAATCTCAGCCTCAACCACTTCCTCACCCTTCTTCTTCGCCACTTCCTCATTCTTCTTCCCAGCCACAACCACATTGCTCTACCCAGCCACAACCACATTGCTCTACCCAGCCACAACCACATTGTTTTCAACCACAGCCTCACTGTTCTCAACCACAGCCTCACTGTTCTCAACCACAACCTCACTCTTCTCAACCACAACCTCACTCTTCTCAGTCTTTTACTTATATTTCTCAGTCTCTTCCTCATCCACACTCTCAACCTCATCCTCATTCTCAGCATTTTTCTCTTCCTCTGTCACCTTCTCTTTCTCAGCCTGTTTCTCAGCCTCTTTCGTCACCTCTCCCCCAAACTTTTTCCCAACCTTTTTCTCAATCTTTTCCTCATTCTTTTGTTCATTCGTTTCCTCAGTCTTATCATCAGTCTTACCCACAAGCTTATTCTCAAGCCTATCCTCAAGCTTATCCTCAGTCTTTTCCTCATTCTATTTCTCAGCCTCAGCCTCAGTCTCAGCCTCAGCCTCAGCCTCAGCCTCAGCCTCAGCCTCAGCCTCAGCCTCAGCCTCAGCCTCAGCCTCAGCCTCAGCCTCAGCCTCAGCCTCAGCCTCAGCCTCAACCTCAGCCTCAGCCTCAACCTCAGCCTCAACATCAGCCTCAACCTCAGCCTCAACCTCAGCCTCCACCTCAGCCTCCACCTCAACCTCAGCCTCAACCTCCACCTCAACCTCAGTCTGAACCTCAGTCTGAACCTCAATCTCGGACACTGTCTCGGACGCTGTCTCGGACACTGTCTCGGACGCTGTCTCGAACGCTGTCTCGGCCTCAATCTCGACCTCAATCTCCAACTGAATCTCGACCTCAGTCTTATCCTCGGTATCAGCGTCATCTTTCATCGACACAAGAACAGTCATCTGAGAGACCGGGCGCTGAAACGTGGTCCAACTGTAGTTGACATTGTTATCACTCTTCTCGTTCATTGTTGTTGAAACGACTCTGTTCATAGCAATGGCAGAATCAAAATTTGTTTTATACATTTGATTTAACTGTCTCAAGTTCCGACAAAATTTGAACTTTAGTCTATTTACTTGAAATATAATAGTTGCAGGGAAACAAGGAATGGACTATTTTTATTTATTTACGATAACTTGTATCGTTATTATATTGCAATTGTAAATATGAATTTAAATGTTAATTATAAAATATTTTCAACATTAATTATAAATATTATGACGAACTAAAAAATAAAAAAGTCAATCTTTATATAATATATTTATATACGTTACACGTTATAGATTATTGATATTATTGATGGACGTTTTTACTTTTCTAACTCTTTATAATGTTTACAAGTAATTACAATATGACATACGATATTAGTAAGTACACTATTATGTACTTAGTAAATATCTGTAACAAATAATATTTTAATATCTTTTTTCCCTCATACAATTCATTTGCAACGAAAGAAAGTTAATCATAACTAACTTCTACCTAAGGAATCTTCTTTTTTTTTCTATTCTTTTGTCGAAAATAAATAATAAGAATGAAGATAAAAAGATATTATCAAGAGGTTGTTCATCAGTTGCAGACAATGTTTTTGCTATATAATCGTTATTCTATTTTCTAGATATTTACTAGATACTTAATATTGTAACTATTATTATAGCATTGTAATTAATAATAAATGTTATAAAGGGATAGGGAAGGAAATAAAAATATAAAGTTTAATAAAGACGTTTTTACTTCTTATTGCCAATCTAAGATAGATCATAGACTTTCCTTCTGTGTAAATTACAGAAGTGTACAATAAATGTTTTATCAAAGTAATTGTTTCGAAAAGAAACAAAACTAATAAAAACAAAAAATGCTCTCACAGAGAGAGCTTCACTGAAGTAATCGTAGCTCGTGGTCAATTCTAATGTGACAAATATAAGAAAAAAAAACTGATTCTGGATCGAGACTAGTTCTATCGTTCTGACACAAAGTTCTCTGATACAGAACTATTCTCAACAAAAAGTTCCATTAATTTCCAGGGACAATTAAAAATTTCATGAACAATGGTAACAACATTTACGACGTTGGCCATTTGTTTGCCAACTGATGTACAACGGTGAGAAAGCTCCTCGACTTGTCCCGACGGCGGCGATCCTCCAATGTCTCTCGTTAAATCGTACACAAATAGCAACGTAAAAACGTGTAATGCGGTTTACGCGAAGTGGCCAGGCTGAATGGTACCTATAACCGATTGGAAAGTGTGTATTCGCCGGATACAACACACAGAGCAAATAAAGCAAGAGGAGACGAAGCTGCGAAGGTGGCAACGAGTCTCATGGGAGCCCTCGACTTAACTACCAGATCGATGTCCGACCCCAAACCACGCTTCATCCCCCTGAAACCAACCCCTGTTGGCTTACATCGCCACCGAGTTCTCGCTTCCTTCCTCTGTTCTCCATCGTTTGCTGCTCATCTCTGTCTTCTTTCATTTTTCATCTATTTCTGGGCTATTTTCTTTCATCGCTCCTCATAATATCTCTCCTTTTTTCCTCTCTCCTCATATCACTTTGCATTTTTACTGGTCACTCTGCAATGCCACTAATGCCTCGCGATCTCGTTTACTTATCGAAAGCTTCTGTGCTGTTTTTGATAGACCAAAGCCGAATAACTGAGATGATGGAGTTCCTTTCAAATTTTTCTTTCAAGCTATACATCCACCTCTGCGCCTAACTTTCCCCCCTAAAGTAACACAGTGTCTGTCTATGATTTACAACCTGTACCATACAAAATCAGAGGAGCAACAGTCCAACCTAAAGATCTAAAGCGTAAAAGTCCACGATTCTGTAAACTTCGGGAGTTTACACAAAGAAATCAGGAAGTGCTTCCTCTTTCTTCAAAACTTACCGAAGCTTCTAACGTTCTCACATACAGGGTGTTTCAATAATCACATTGTGTTTCAGTATCATAATATACGATTAACAAGAGGGTGGTGATTAATGTGAAACAAAAAACTCGAGAGTACTGGTTATTTAAATCGAGAAAGTAAGCAGAATACTACATAATATTGTAATAAACATAATGAATGTTACATTAGTAGATATTCTACCTTTGGTATCTCATTACATTTTACAATGATTTCTACAGATTTAAATTTCGTGCCAGCGTATAAAAATCCGTGATCTAATAATTATAAACCAAATTCACACAAATCTACAAAACAAATTTCCAGAATTCGATTTTATCAAGAATAGTTTATTCCTACATCTTGGATTGATTTTTTTCACGCAGTGAAATTGCCGAAGCACTCTGTGTTTCTATAAATATAAATTCCACAGTGTCGCGATACGAAATGTTAAAACTCCGGATTGTCGGCGAAAGATTAAAAAAAGGGAAAAAAAAGAAAAGAAAGGGATGCGCAACGTCTTTGGATTCGTAGAGGTACCCGTCGGCAATCCTAACGTAATTGGACCCCGAGACGTTTCAACGTCTACCGAGGAATTCCGTAGGATAGCTTTTTGTTCGAATTGCGTTTCTCTGTCCAGTCGGCCCAGTCGAAAACACCAAATAGATACTTTTATGGAGGGCTATAAACGTTCTGAATCGAGTATCGATGGTTCCAAAGGGGCTAATCTGCGGATGAAAACTGTAATAAAACGTCTCGCCCTTGCATGTATCTGAAATCCTTTTGCAGTAACGCGCGCCCTTTACGTGCTCAGGTAGCATTCTCGTTGGAAAATGGGAAACTGTTATATCTGTTTTCGTGTCTCGAGTTAGTTTGGGCGGTGAAACCTCACGAGATTATGCACCTTTACATACACATTATGCACCTTGCATTTTTACATATATATATACACGTATTGTATATATGATGTATTACACGAATAAAGCATCTGAGAAAGAAAATGATATTTTTCTAAATAATTTGGAATTTAAAAGCGTTACGAAATTTGTAAGCGATGATATGAAAATTGTACAGAAAGATTTTTGATACGTCTTAATATATCGTTTAGGTTAGAAGTTATCATTTCCATTGTTTTTGCATTTATAATTTTCTACAGTTAACGTAACTAATGGAATTAATTAGTATAAGAGAAAAGGTGATAGTATAAGATAGGGAATGAATTATTTTGTAAAGATTTTTCATTAGTGTTGGCGAATATATTTGTAAATGCGACAAACAAATAAATAAATAAACTTGATGAAAGATAATTGACGGTATCTTATGTGTCAAAAATGAAGTTTAACAGTATGAATTTAGTACCAAAAGTCTAAATTTATTCTATATAAAAAGAGATTACTTTCAATCTTTCGTTGCAACTTATTTGCATGTATTTGTATAGCAATTAATTTTTGAAGTTTTTAAATGATACTTCAATTAGTTATGATTAATCATTTTTATCTTTAATTAAAAATTTTTAATTAATTAATTGATAAATTTACCGCATTAAATTGTAAATGGCGCTAAAATCCATTCATTATTTTTTCTGGTATCGGTAATATAGAAAAAACCAAATCGGTAATGTAGAAAATGATACAGAAGTCAATAAAATAGGAACTGATGCAACAATCAATAATCTAGAAAATAAAACAAACCTATTTGTGATAATCACTCAACAATATCACAAACAAAGTATATGGTACTTCATATACTTCATATATAGATTTATATACCTCGTCTGTTACTTTTATAGCTTGTAATCTGAAATACCGACATACCAGAAAATCACTGGTTTTTTTTTAGCGCACTCTACGTTTAAACAACGGTGAACTGGAGAACTAAAGAATACCATTTTCGTGTCACATCCTGTCATACCGATTTAGGCAAATTTTATATCGCAGCACTACTAGTGATGAGAATTAAAATAAAAAAATATGATGTTACCAGATCTGTTTCGAGAATTATTTATGAATTGAACGTGGTGATACATCAATGAAGCAATATAACGATTTAAAACAGATTGTTGAAAATTGGAATGAAAAATTTAGCATATATTCGACTGTTAACATCCATTTAAAAGATTAAGAATTAGAAAAAATTGTTTGAATTATGATATTTTTATGAATAATATAATTAGATATGTTGTTTTATTTACAAATATGTAAATTCACAGTCTGAATAAATTATTATAAACAGTCTATTTAATTATTGTTAACTAAAATGACTTTATTACAATTTACAATTTACAATTGTAATAAAGTTGATTTTAGAAAATTACACTGCGTATGCCCGCCATTTTGCGCTCTTTCTTGTCAGTTAAACAAACCTGCGCTATATTCAAACGATGACATGCGCAGAACATATTGAAACTTGTTCGTGATTGTTACGATTAAATATTAAATAAATATTATCAATTGTTCAATAAAAAGAAAAAAAAAACAAACGCAAATATGTCTGCCTTTATTAGAATAAGTCAAATGCAATCGTACCTTCGTGAAAAGTTCTTGGATTTATTCTTGATCGTCGTGGCATTCTTCAAATGCTCCCAAATTTTCCTCGCAATTAACTAACATTCTGTAAAAGAAAATCGAAACTTTCAAATAAATGCATAAAAGAAACAAAATATACGAAAAAAGAAACAATGATTAAGATTAAATGTCGTTCTGGAGCTCATAATATGTGCTACCAGTAGATGTAATGATCAAAAAGTCGATTGAGGGAACAAAGATAAGTTAGTTATAAATTACAATAATATTCGATGAATTATCAAAGACAAAAATAAAAACATACATTAATTAAACGAAGTTGACAATGAACACGGGCGGCGAAAGAATGATGAATGAATACGCAATTAATAAATGCTACACAAATTGATAGATCTTAACACCACGATTTTAGACAATAGACTAACTCCGCAACAGGTTCGCGTCGCAAATTAGAGGGGGAAAGTGGTCCGATATAAATGCGCGCGTTGATTTAATTTGATCAAATGAACATAATGGAATCTTTAATAATAGTAGTAAAAAAGGAGGTGATTTAAATGTAATTTTGAAGTAATTTTCTTTATATTTGTGTCACATGATTAAAGAACTATAAGTAAGTCCAAAATATAAATAAATTATTCAAATTTACATGATTTTATGTCACAATATAAAGATTATAGAAAGCACATGCAAAAATATCTATAATGAAAAAGCAAAAGATTGAGCATTTCATTAGTGCAATTTTTTTTCACAACTATAATAATAAAATTTCTGTAATTGCAATGAAACGGTGCAACTTGTACTATTAAATTATTTCATTTTATATCTAAAACATATTTATAACAAAAATTAAGGTTAAAATTACACAATACATTAATACACTAACAACAGGAGACTAGATTAATTATATTAATCATATTTCATGGTCTGTATGTATAAGTTTTATGATAAACTATGACAGTTAAACGATCCTTTCACAATAAAGATATGTTAAGAAATAAATCTTGTTATATAAAGTAAAAGTAAAAAAATAGTAACATGTTGCTTGTATAATCAAATTACTACTTAACAATCGCCCGTCGATAATGTATTAACATGAACCTTTATTTTCGTTATAGTATACTCTTATATTATTTATCTAAAAAATTGACATAAAATATATTCACAATATAAGCTGATTATGAAAAACAATTGCAAATTTTAAAACATATTTACATAATTTCATTCTCCTTTTTCACAAAATAAAAAATTTCTACTAAACACTGACATATAGCAATTTTGCCTTATATAGATTTTGCTATTTTATATTGTTATTTTGATTTTTATACATATAATTTAAAATTTTTATATGAAAGTAAAAAATGTTACCTCTTCATTGTAGGCAAATAACTTATATTCGAGCAAAATTTATATACGCACTTATAAAGATCTATACTCTCTCGCTATTTAGGAAACCTTGTACTCTGCTACAATAGAGTAGCACAATAAAATTTTAATTTACACTTATTAATATATATCGTACTTAGAGATTATGCCTCCCAATAGAAATAGTACAAATATTTTGCACAAGATCTTAATAACAAATTTCATTCCGTAAGCTTAAATCATTCTATTTCTTTTTATAATTTCTATCAAATATTTGCAAAACACAGTCCAGTTGAAATTCATTGTCACAATTAAACATTCTCTAGACGAGAAATATATTATTCATCATATTTTGGCAATTAATACAAAGACAGAATAATTTTATGAAATATGCCTTTTCTGTTTGTGTATTGTTACATTAGTTGAATATAATTTTATATAATAAATTGTACGATATTAGCTAACTTTTTAGAAAGCGTTTCTCCTAAACATAAAAGCATGTATCATTGTCATTCGTAAACTCTATTTCTCTTATTGCTCAGAATATAGAAATACTATAATTAGTATTGTGCGATAGTATTATATTTTTGAGCTCTCAATAAATCTCGTTTATGACGATTCATTCATCGAATACTTCCAAGTGAGAACCACTCAATTATTTCGGTTGTTAAATCGAGACGTCCAAGTGGTAAGCGTATTCCACCAAGAAATTCATTTTCTTGTAGTGTATCATGATTCCATATTGTAGCTTCTAGAGTTCTCTCTTTAATCACCTCTAGAGACATTCTATATTCCAACTGTGACAAAGAAATGTATATCTAAGAACTTCATTCAAACAAAAAAGAAAAACAGAAACAATTTAGCTGAATTCATTACCATTTCCATGAATGAAGGATGACAATTTTTCTTCACAACTTTTGTTTTTCGTTTTGTCTTCTTTGTAGGATCCGGTTTAAGATATACTTTAACATACGTATTTGGTTCTTGACAATTCGCTACTTTTGGTAAACCTCTAGCATGATACACCATCACGTAAAATGCTCCACGTGTATAGTGAAGAGACATTTTAATTTGTCCGCTTTGCACATTATCTCTTACAGGTTTCTCAGCCCACCAATTACCAACTAATTAAAAAAATAAATAAATATAATTAGGATATTCGCATTTAAATATTATATATTATCATATTTAGGAAAATTTTTTGTACCTTTTACTTTACGTAAATGAATGTCAGCATTCTGTTGATCTCTTAACAAAGGATGAAAGAAAGTATATACCAAGTCGCTTTGAGAAATTTCTGGTGCCATTTTAAATAAGCTTACAAGAAATTTCTCAATATCCGCTCGTCGTTTATCAGCAACTTGCTTTATGTTAGATCTTCCGACACTTATACCACTTGGTAAACTATGTAAAATATTCATATTTATATTAATATCATGTTATCTATATATTCTACAAATAAATAGAATCAATTTTTCAATGAATTGTGATTAATTACGATTACTCGTAAAAATGAGATAAAATACACTATTTTTCTTGTAAATTTGACAAAGAACATTTTTCATATCAAAGATTTTAATCTGATTAGATAGTATGAAACAAGATAGCATTAAAATTCCGATATCATGTTATAAAAACTTATTAATCAGTAGCAACAATAAAATTTCATTTTACGTTTACACTTACTGGAATTTGCAGTATTACTTGTCTATTCGTTTGAAATACTTGAATACAACTTTTACACTAAAGAACAGGTATGTACTATTAAAAATACACACACACACATATATATATATATATACATATATACACATATAAGATTTAATTCTGCGTTCTTTTAGAAAATATCAACTAATTAAAAATGGGCATTAAAGGCTCCCGTGCTCAAGTAACAATACAAAACACTTCGTCTAAAAAATCAACTGCACCCGAATTTTATCGAAAAATACATCAAAATGCATCAGGATTACAGAAAAATACAAATAATATTAAAAAAACTGTTACTATTACAAATAGTATTGAAAAAAGTGTTACTATTAAACAACCCAACTCTTCATCTTAACAATTACATTTAATATACAGAATAATTTAAATTATTACAAATAAAATCTACTGCATGATATAGATACATTAAATTACTATATATAATCTCTACAGATACCAATCACATATGATATATGAATCAATCATACTGTTATTAATTCTAATGTGTATTGTACAAACTGTATTAAAATATAAACATAAAATAAAGAATATTTTACTTACCTAGCAAGTTTTGCAAGAGGAAAATGAATACACAGTTTTTGATAAAATTCACAAAATTCCTTATATGATCGGAATAAATAAGTAGGATCCGCATGGCCTTTTCGTTGTATACGCAAAATATACATATAATATTTTTCAGGATCATATCGTTTTTGATAGCCATGTACTTGTACACTCGTCAATTGACCTTCCTGTTGCATTCTATAACAAATGCATATGCAATCTCAAATTTCAAATTTGCATTTTAAAAAATATATTACAAACTTACGTATATGTACGTGGTATGAAAGACAATAACGCTCCATCATTATGATCGCCCGAAAATCTGAGTTGTGCTAAATTATGCAGAAAAAAGTTAAACTGTGTAAACCAACTTTTAAGTGAACTTTCTATCATTCGAGCAAATGTTGCAGCTGCTTCAGGATTTGTTTGTTCTGGAAGAAGAGCTTTCTGTACGTAACTAATTGCATCCACAGTCACACCAGGAATTCCAGACGAAGTCATCTGCGAATTTGTATAATTATTCATTTTAGATTTGTTTACTAATTCTTTGATTTCGATATCATTAAGCTTTTGTTGTATAACACGTAATTTATACATATTAGTCATATTATTTTTCTGAGATAATAAACCGTTCATTTTTGAAACTTATACTTTGGTCTTTGCTAAAATCGAGTATATTAAATATTTATGATATTTAAAATTAATATTATAACTTATGACATGTTTGCTTTACACATAATTGATTAAGACTGCTGCATTATTCGATACTACGGGACTAAAGATGATAAACATAACTATGTACAACAGTATATAGTTTAGCGTGATAAGCGGACCACTTTCTGATAAAACAAGTGGATAAGTCCTTCCGTTGCGGTTTTATTGTTCTCATACATATCACTAAGTTAAAAATATATTTTTATTTTCTTTTCTTTAAATTTAATTACCGTCTAACAATATTTCAGTATAAATTTTGAAACTATAATTATATAAATAAACATACCAATCCAAATAGATGGAGAATTAGATTTCCATGTTTTCGTACTACATTAAATGCTTGACAACATAAGTCCACGAAATGATGAAATTTGGCTGATGGTTTGTCTCCACCATTTATAACATAAGCCATATCAGATGTTAATACAAATGGTGTCCTATCTCTAATTAGAAATATGAAGGATTATAATTTATTATCATAAATACTGGATAGATGTAAATAAAAACATACCTTTTAAAATTTCCAAACATTTGCGCATCACCTAAGAATTTTCCAAAATCAATATGAAACAGATGACCCGACGTTTTTAACATAATATTGTCATTGTGTCTATCACAAATTCCTAAAATATACGTAGCAACGCTATAACCCGCGCAAGATGCAGTAAAATTTTCTACTGCTCGTTCATATTCTAACTCTGAAGGATTATGCTTTGCCAACCATTCGGCAATAGGGCGATCTTTAAACGATCCAGTTAGGCCAAACTCAACTTGTATTTTTCTTAGTGTCTCTGCATTTGTAACCATTTCTATCATTCCACGTTTATAGCCGGTAGGCACGCAGGCAAATGTTACCATTTTAAGATCAAGACCTTCCTTTAACCAGAGTTTATCCATTATACGCACCATTTGGAGAGTTAACATATCTTGTTGCAAATCATCTCCAACCTTCAAAATAATTTTGAATATAATAGAATATATCTCAATCAATTAGATACTGATTTATATTAGAGTAATAGAGCTTACTTTAAAAATTGCTGGACAAATTACATCATCACAGCTAATAAAGTTGATTTTCAATGGAAGAGTAAATGACGGAAAATATGAGCAACTTTGTACATTTATACCAAATACTTGTTTACTAGGAGATAATGGTAAACAGGTACCATCATCTTCCATTAACTGACAATGTATATTTTGCAAACCAACTTTGAGCGCATCCAGTCGTAATGATTCTTTTGTCTGCTTAATATTTTCTGCTACTTCATGTAAATTCTGGAAAATTACATATGTTAGAGAGAGAGAGAGAGAGAGAGGAGAACCTTACTTTAACAAGTAACTGTTGAGTAAGAAAACTATTTCTTAATGCATCTCCAATGACAGCCAATAATGCCCTCAACATCAATTGTAATCTTCTGTGATAACGTGCTAAACTAATATTTTTATCGTCTTCTGGTGTAGTTTCAGCAGAATTCTGAAAATAGAATACAATAAATATACTCGTTTAATTCCCTAAAGTAAAAGAAAATTATTCCAATTTGAATTACTTGAGGACTTTGTCCTGGTAACGCTTGTGTTAATAACCAATAGATATGATGAGCTACCCGCGGAGAAAGTAAAGCTCGTTCTAATAGAAACTTTGTAAGAGGAGACGTTTCATATGTTTCATGCTTCAACGCCTGTAATAATTGTGGTAAATAATCTACAAGTTCATCATTGCTCAATTCCCGAATCCATCCAACGGCCATTTCTCTAACTTTCATATCTGGAAAACTATAAAGTATTTTTAATTAATTGCATATTCATTAATCATGTTATATTCATATTCTTAGAACACTGAATTACCAAGGTAACAGTAATTGCAGAGCTTGAACAGGAGGCAAAGGACTCCAGATTCTAAGAGATGCATGAAGATCAGGTAAACATGCCCAATCCCAACTATGTGCAGCTAAAAGTACTTTAGGTAAAGCTTCAGGTTTATCATGTAAATAATGCCGCTTTTCCCATAGAATTTCTCTTTCTTCAATAAGCGGTCTACTCAACAATAAATATATAAATTAATATTCGGGGCTTTAATAAATTAATATTTGGGGCTTGTTCATATTTAATTTAAAAATATACTATACCTTGAAAATGTAGTTTGTTGTGTAATATCTATTAACAATTCTTGTGTATTTTGGTCGAGTGAATTAAAATCAAGAGATTCTACATCATAATCGCGTAATTCTGTAGGAAACAGTACTCTGCCTCCATAATCAGGTAATTCTACACCAATGATAGCATGCGTATCTCCATGAGGATGAATTCCAGGGGCGGGAGCAGGACCTAATCTTTTATCAGCGATCGCTGGCCAAAGTGACAAAAAGAAGCTTCCTTGATTCATTACTCTGCAATTAAAAATATACACAAAATGTACACGAGTAAAATATTTTCTTAATAATAAATATAATTAATTACCCTTCGCAATCAAAGAATTGTATAGCTCCCCATCCCAGCTCTTCTTTTTGCATGGTATTTTCTGCTGACGAATTAGACTCGTGTTCAGTCGGTTGCAATGTCCGGCCGTATAAAACCAACACTAATCTAGCTTCTCTTGGTACTTGACACACGCTTATTCCCCGAAATTCCAGCCTTTTGTAATAAACACATTGTTAATAAAAATAAAAGTGATATTATTTAATAGCAGTTTTTAAAATCATTACCATGAATTAAATAAAATTCTTGGATAAAAATTAGAACTGACTGCCATAGGTTCAGATAAAACTGGATTTCCAACAGGTCTTGTTCCATGAAATATTTGAGCTGCGACGATGTAATCGTCGTGTTTCCACGATCCTGGTAATCTATGTAATGATCCAACACGAACTAAGACAGTATCTAATACTTCAGATGATATTAATGTATCTAACATAGAAAAATATAATGTACATTAATTCTTTTTACAATTTATCATTGTCAAAATAAAATTTTATAAATTTAATATTCTTACTTGTTGGAAATTCTCCTCTGCTGTTTAATTCAAAATCGACTTTAAATGCATGACAGTAAGTTTCTACAAGATCTTGAATTGCATCGCGAATTTTTCGACAATGAGATGCAATAACATCTGGAAATTTTGTTCTTAAAGTTACTACGGAATAGTCACCATCTTCATGTAGAATCTCTGGTTTCTTGCACTCTATATTTGCTGTATGAACTTGAGGTAAAAACTGACAACATGCATTCACAAAATTATCGACAGCTTCAGTAATTTCAAATGTCTCTATGCTTCCCATTAATGCGCATACTGCTTTTACTGCTTGGACAACACCACGGGGTTGTAATTGTGGTAAAAGACTGGAACCATGATTAGTAGTTGCCAATTGTATAGCAGCAGTTTCCACACGTTCCATTTCTTTTTCTACAGTTTCTATAATTTTTTATACAAATATACATAATTATTACTTTAATAATTTTATACTTTTCTTGTGTGACAAGAATTTCATAATTATTTTTTGTTTTTATACCTAACAAGATAAGGAGTGTATCATACGAAATAGGTTGTACTGGTTCGTTTGGAAGAATATCTTCTAACTTGAGACATTGATCACGATTATCATCTTGAAGCTATTAACAAATTAAATATTAATACATATTATATATAACGCAAATAATTATAAATTAAGATATTTTTATAATCAAAAGAAATACTTACTGTTCGTGCTATAGATCGTTTTATTTGTGTTTTAGTTAGAATAGCTAATTCGATATCTCTTTCTAATTTGATACATTGATGTATATATTCATATTGAGCTAAAGTCGTATTAGGTGCAAAATATTCTGCTAAACCCCATACTCTCAAACAATATTTCTCTATATTTACTATATCTTCATCTTCTAAGGAACAAGCGATATTAAGAATAACATGCTCAACGCTACAATTTACTGAAAAAATTATGTATTGCGCATTAAATCATTGAAATTTTTTGATAAATTTTGTATTATAAATTCTATTAGCTCACCATCGCATGTAAACGAAATGGACGGAGTATTTTCGTCAGAATCCATTAATTGTGGGTGTACAACTAATTTTATACTTGTGCTTTCGGGATATAAGTTTTCCATCATCGGACTAATTATATGTCCGATGTTTGTACTGGGATTATTAAACGGAAATTCACCTGAATATATTTTATAGATTAATACATATAGTCAATATTACTGAAATACTAAATTATGTTGCTAACCTCGAACAGATTTTATCATTTCATAGAAAGCTCTAAGATCGCAATCACGAAGTGATGGTCTGGTTTTTCTTACAGTTACATTTTCATACAAGCGCGTTTGTCGTTTCTGGAATATAAATGATTAAAATTGTTAGAACTCTAATTTTCAATTATTCATTTAGACAATTAATCATTTGGAATATTTACTCTTCTATCTAAAGATGTTCTTCTTCTTTCAATAGTATTCCAAGCTGATGAATTTCTAGGAGGTAGAGGCGGTGGTGCAGCTGGTGATACCGCTGGAGATTTAGCAGACTTTTCCACAGCAACATATACTGGATCTGAATTAACACTTTCGTTTGTGCTATACATGTAATCGAAAGGATCGAATGGATCATACACCGATCCACTCACTTGCGATTGCATTTCTATTTGAATACGTCATATTATTATTAAATGTTTATGTAATTATTTTATTCTACTTCTAAATCATTTTAACAAAATATTACCCTCTTTATGTCCTTGTCTGCTGTCGTTCTGATCTTCAATTTTAACAAGTAATGGATCAAATGCTTCTAGTACACTAACTCGAACATTTGTTTTATCTTCTACTTGATCAAAAGAACTCAAATCTATAAGATTATTATTTGGCTTTTTCTCTATCACTTTTAATACATTTAGCTGTTCATCGTCGGTACAGAATGTAGGTTTTTGAATACCACATATAGAAGGAGTAACACTTGGTCTATAATTCATAGGTAGTGGAGGTATCTGCAAAAAGATTGTTAAAATGTATTTTTCAAAAAATGTTAAATATTAGTTAATATTTGTCTTTTAAAAATAAGTAACAGAGAAACTTAAAATTAATATTTTTATACCTGAACTTAAAATTTATACGTAATATATACCTGAGAATGAGTAAGAAAATAATTTTTAAAATCATTAAGATTCCATGCAGGCTGCAAGAAATGTATCATTAACAAAATTATTGTTGTAATAAAAAACAAACAAAAAAATATATATATATATAGTAATCATTGAATATATATAGAAATATCATAAAATTTACTTGTGGTGTTATATCAGGTACATTACTGCTAATACTACTAGATCTTGACATGACAGGACTAATTTTTGGAGTTCCTGGTGTACAAGGTGCAGTGGAAGATCTAGGTCCTGGAGAAAGTGATTGATATCGAAAATCTCGAGGATGATAACCTGCAGAACTAGTGCTTCGTGATACCCTCCCCTGTTTTTTCAATAATGAGGGATGAGTCTCCCAGTTTGGCTCTACAATTGTTTTCCTACCATAGAAAAATAATTATTAATTAATAATAGTATAATATTTTTATAAAATGATTAATTATATTCTTACGGAGGTGGAGGTGGAGGTGAATAATAATCACTTAAATTATCTTGTTTCACTGGACTTGTGAAATTAATCAAATCAACAGTGTCTTGACTTGTGGTGGCTGTTGTTGAATTTCTTCTAGATGGAACTGGTGGTGGTGCTAATATCACAGCATTTTTAGATTGATTGGTATTAAAGGAACCAGGCCTTGGTCTACTTCTACACTGAAATCTAAATAATCATTGTTATTAAACACAATTTAACCTTTGTAACAAATAAATGATTAAATTCATTGCATTTACTTCTCAGTTTGTGGTATGTTATCTTTTTCAGATGAACTACTATGTACAGTGCTGTTCCCATCATTTTGTGGAATACATTGATGCTGGATATTATTAAAATCTGATTGCTGCTTTTGTAATTTAAATTTCTCTAGTGCTAGACTCTCCAAACTTAATGCTTGGGCACGTTCTAAATCCTCTTGGAACTGACGTTCATAATCAATCACCGCAGATTTCTGAGTGTCTGTTTTTCTACTGTAGTGTGACATCTAGAATTAAATTAAAAACTGATTAGTACATTATAGAATGGGAGAAGCACTAAAATAGATGTACACATATACGTATATTGAAGTGCAAATGTGACAAACTGGTAGAGTAAGTTACTAATAATAGAAATAGATGTGAGACGTACATTTTAAAAACACTTTAACCTATACCTGAAATGCATTTGCAAAAGCATTTTCTTAAATTGTCAAGAAAATAAAATTAAGTACTAATATTAATTTGCTAATATCCTAACACATTCCAATTTATAATACTCTTCATAATATAATATTGTATATTAAAATATAATGAAAGAAAATTAGAGACACATCAAAAAGAAATTTCTCAGCATTAGTTGCAATCACATATTTCATGCGTTGATAAAAGTGAAAGAAAGGTATTGTTGGCATAGATCTTATCATTCTAAGAGCTGTATTATCAAATTGAAATGACAGTTATGCGTCTAAACAGATTTATAGCTCACCCTAGCATTATTTTCAGTGGAGTGTTTCGTTATTGAAAAATCGTCGAATAGAAAAGCGATACAGTTTGAGAAAAAAGCACTGTCACTTAATCAAGGACATTTTCAATCGTATAATTAACTATCATGTATAAACGATCTATTGTACAGACGTAGGTACTATATACAAATCAAAGAGTGCACTGACTTGGAGCTACGGATAGACAATGTACTAGTAGAAGACACAATAAGCGTATCGTATGTACATGCACGATACGTCTTACAATCAATACAACGATACGATGTAACGAAAGACTGACTATGGTGCGGATGTAATTGAAAGTGGTGACGGTATACAGTTAGGTTACATTAACTCTTTCCGGTGTATCGACTATTTGGATGGTTAATCTGTTTAACCTGAACGGCAAACCTTATTTGATTAAAGCTGATTTATACATGGAACACGTAGGATTGTTTACAGTTAGGAGTATACAAGTTAGTGTTGGTAATATATATAGATATATATGTAAACTTAAATGCCTTAGATCTTATGTAAAGAATTGTATGAATACTATACACTAATTTCATTTTCTTTTAATACAGGGTCCTTGTAGTTGTGATTAAAAAAAAAAAAAAGAAAAGAAAAGGGAGTAATAATTCTATGAAAAAAAAAAAGAAATTGAAAATATAAAACAAAATAAATGATAAATTTTTAAACTTGTCTTTCTTTGTCTGGAAGTTTCAAATAATAAAATTTTATTCTTCATCTTTGATTCATTCCTGTTTGTAGAACAATTTTCTGTTATTGTTCATTATACTTCAGTTGAAAATTAACTACATTCACAATACATACAAATGTATAATTATAATGAATTAAATTCAGTTTACTCAAAAACAAAATATTATTCAAATGTATATATTTTATTATATATCTTGGATTTATTTTTTCAATTTCTTCCTCTTATATATTTTTTGTAGATTTAAATTACCAATAATCTTTCTTAAATGAATGGAATATAAACTATATTATCATTATTTAAGTAGTTAAGATGTTAATATACTAAAACTGCTGAATAGAAGTAATAATACTACATCTTACTCTTAACTTTTATAGGACTCTCTTCCTTGAACAATTCATTCACGACTCTCGCCTCTCAATTATACTGTACTTTTAAATACTTCACATACACACGCATATTTTTATCATGTATACTCAAAGGTAAATACATTAATGCATTCGGACTAATCGCGCATCTCAGAATCGCTTTTCATTTGTAATTGATACATTAGATTAAACATTTAATCTCTTTCGCTTAATTATTCATTATCTATCACACATCTGCAGACCCATACTTATCACATACTAATAATACTTTTCATTCGTATGATATTTATTACATAAATACATTCTAACGTTTAACATATAAAATGTTTACAAAAATACAAACGTTTTATTTGTTTGATAAAATTTTTTTTAGAAGATAGTGCAATAGCACTAACTATAAATAGCATCCATTAGAAATGAAGCATATTCATAATTACTAATGAGTTGCACATAAGATAATTATAAATACATGTATTGTTGATAAATAAAATATCACTGAAATATCATTAACTATTGAGAAAAACGATGCTAATAATTTTGAATAAATATTCATGAAGTATAAAAATAAAAAAAAAAATTGAGATTAAAATTGTTGTTAAAACTGGCCGCATTAATACTAACAAAAAAATTGATATTGAGGTATTTTAAGTACACGATAGATATTTTGCAAATTTAAGAGCATTGCACGATTTTAAGCCAGAAACCTTTTTCGCTGGTTGTCACGAGACTTCGTCTACTGAATTTTATCGGTGTAATTGTTCTTTCGCATGTTTCCACTCTATGTTTTTTAAGAAATGAAATTATCCCCACTTTGATCTGCAGCAATGCAAACCTCATACCTGAAATAAATACAGTGTATAATTTAATTTTTATTACGTCATTTAATATATAGCGTAAATTATTCATTCTTTCAAAATGATTTTCGTTTAATACAACAGCATAAATTAAAAACTTTTAAAAAGTTTGTGTTCCATGACATCATATCTTTAAAGCAAGATATGTATGTTTTTCTGAATCTATCATTAAATATTTGCAGTCTCTTCTGCCCATTACCTTGAAAAGATTTGTCAAATAATTTTTGAACATTTCTGAAGATTTCAGTCATGATTTAGAAGTAATATACCTATGCAATTTCGAGGTCCTTCACCAAATGGAAGATACGTGTAAGAATGCCTGGTTCGTTTGTTCTCTTCTGTGAATCTTTCAGGATCGAATGTTGCTGGATTTGGATAATACTTTGGATCGTGATGAAATCCATAAATCGGTATGATCACCCGCATACCTGCTGGTAATTCAAGCTTACTTCCTGGAACCGGGTACTGGTGTTCGCATCTTCGAGATAGCATAGGAGCTGGAGGATATTTTCGAAGCGTTTCTGAGAATTTCAAAACTCCAATTAATCCTTCAACAATATTACTTGAGTCCGGAAGAATTTTACAAAATGCATGCTTAAAAATTTATACTTTAACTTTGACGAGACAATCAAATTCATCAGAAGATCATGAAGATATTAAAATTCTTTCTTGCTACAGTGAAAAAGTGAACATTCAACTATTACAAGTCGAATATTCTCCAACATTTCAAAGAAACAACTAACTTAAAGAAATCGCGAAGCTGATGATGGCATGTAACATATAACTGCAAAGTAAATAATGGCGTAATCATCGCAAGAATATTTCATGACATTTCAAGGCCTGTAATTTACGTGAAATAAGGCCAAAGGAAATGGATTCTTACCTGCGATGACCATATCGAGATATTTCATGTCTTGTACAGCGTCGTAGGTCAATTTGCCATTTCTGTTCTCGATGGCATCTTGTATGTCACGTCTCGTTCTCTCCTGAATCTCGGTGTTCAACGCGAGCTCGTGTAGGCAGAACGCTATGATGTTGGACGATGTTTCATAGCCAGCGGTGAAAAACACAAACGCTTGCGCTGCAATGCTGTTCTCGTCCAATTCTATAAATAATAACGTGATATACGATTCATTATCAGTCACTAATTCGATAAATGGTAACCAAATGGTATTTGATATGGTAACCACTGGTAATGCGTTTTTTAATCATCGACAGTGAGTTGGCATTATTATACATCAGATTATCGCAAAAAAAAAAAAAAAAAAATAAATGTATTTTGGAATATTTGTGAAAAACATATTTAGATAATCAATCGGTGATTAAGAGTGAAATACATTAAAAGCAAGATTTTTAATTGATTACTTTTTAAATTGAATAAACGTGATGTATTAATGCTTCTGTTTTTTGTCATTTTAAAGTAACAGTCTTTTAAATATCGATTAATTAATGTGTTATTACTAAATTAATTACCAAATTTCATATAGTCACGATTAATTACAAATCATTACTATTTTACATTTAGTAATGTAATACAATTACATACATCATACATACAATTAGTAAAAGCTCTTTGAATTATTTTGATCAATGCTAATCGTGTTGAAAATATTTGTATTGTAATAAGCGATTGACACGTAACGTGTATTTATATAATTATAAATTTTAATTATGAATCGTTAAAGCCCCTTTCTTGGAAAGTTAATGAAACGCTTCATTAAGAAATGTTGCATTTCATTGGCATTACGTAGCCAATCATAGTGGCTATATGGATAAAGCACTTACTGTTTTATCTTGATTAATTTGTTGCAGAATGGTATCGTTTGTGGCTAGTCATTACAAATATTAAAGAGTATGCAGTTTATACACACACATATTGATTGAAGACACTTATCAATTATGTAATTCTCTTCTTCCATTGCTACAATTACGTTGCTAGTACACGATGCAGAGTCAAACCTACACGTATGGTTTTCATTTTTATTTGACATCACCATTTTAATATCATACGAATTGAATTCAACAAAGTTCATTTTTGTTAATTCTTTGGTTTACAGACAATAATTATTCATTGCAAGTGCACTACTAAATAAAAATGTGAAACTGCACCAAGAATATCTTTCACAAGGGAAATGTACAATTAAATTTTAATATCATTCGTTAATGCTATCAAGCGTTCCCTGCTAACAAGTTTATTTATACAAAAAACGTGTGATTCGCTCGACATTGCTTTGGTCAAAAAAATGTGTAAAACAACGTAGCAGTATCTAAACACAGGCCAGGCCACATGTTAAAGCGAACGACAACATTTCTCTTGTACTGTCTGCGATTTATCTTCGTATAAACTAATCTATATAAACGATAGGAGCAGGCCGATACATCTAACATACGACAGTTTATCCTGTTGCCACAATTTCGCAACAGTTTTCGTGTTTTTCTCCTTCGACTTCCATTAACTCTGCGCGTTTATGCAAATTTGGACTTTTAGAAATGCGATTGAAGCAATGCAGTTTGACCAGAAGTCATTAGAAAATGAACGTTATGTAAATACATACAAAATTTTTGTAAAAACCATATGACGAATGTATATAAAAATGATTGTTTTGTTTTTTTTAAATTAAATAGTGTAAGTATGATATATCATAGTTGTGTTTCATGTTTGCATTTTATCTTCCACTATTGTCCAATTTTCGATTTCTATTTACCACATTTCCTACGCCGTTGTTTAATTTTCCATAAATTCTTAAATGATCAATTTAAACTCCGTTAATTTCCATACCTGGCAACCTACCTATCTCTTCTCCGTCCTCGTTATTCCAAACTTGCCCGTTCGCAGACTCGTCCAACGTTCCTTTATTCTTCAATTCAATCAACAGATCCATAAAATCGTGCCTCTTGATACCGTGCTCCTCTCGCTGGCTAATCATCTGCGACACCATGTCCTTGAAGAATCTGCTCACTCCTGGATCGATCACTTGAACGCCTAGGAATTTATACAATTTTGGCAGGGCTGTCCTGAGCATTCTCCAAAGGGTCGCTGTGTAACTTGGCTTCGAGAGTTTCTTCGCTGCCCTGTGGAACTCGGATTCCTCGTCGGTGAGAGCGTTTATTTGTATGCCGAAAGCACAGCTACCGATGACGTCTATCGTAAATTTCGCCGCCAGTTCTCGAATCTCGTACGGGCGATCGGTCTCGGAGGACGTGTCGATTAATTTTTGAAACTCCTCGCCGCATTCGGCCAGCAGGTAGAACATCCTTTTCAATTTGCCGGACGAGAACGCCGGAGTCAGTTTCGACCGCAGGCTCTTCCATTTCTTCCCCTCGAGGTTGAACAGATGGGCGGACAGCGGGTCCTAATTTATATTAACATCTTATTATACATATACGTGCAATTTCATTCAGTACAAATTTTAGGTTTCACCCAACCGTGAAACAAGTTGATCTTTATAATTTTCCGATACTGTAAAATATTGTCCAAAATGTAGGGTAAAAAAAAAATTTAAATATTAAATTCCAAGGGTTAGAAATTAAAATTTTCTTCAATTTTTAGGGGATCGTTTTTTTTTTTTTGTTCTCTGTCCTTTCTTTTCAGTGAATACAATATGATATCAAATAAAATTACACTTGCTCTGCTTTATCAATTAAATTCCCAATAAAACCCTTCCTATTTATCTCGACTGTTCCAACAATAAAATATTTCTCAAGCAGAGAAAATACAAAAATTTATTTGATTTACCAACGCTTAAATATTCCATGCGTGGAAACCTATTGTGTAGTAATAGTAAAGTAAAATATTCTCCTCTTACCTGCGAGTTCACCGGTATGCCACGATTCGAAAAGCAGGCGAAGTTTTTCACAAAAATATCCTTCACGAGGTCCGGATCCCGTAAGATCAGCATAGGCGATCTAACACGAAACACACCGAAGTATCTCTCGTCTTCGAACCATTCGTACATCCCTTTTATATTTTCCGGTAACGATTTCCGGAACAGCAACATGTCTGAGAAATTTCCGAACAACACTGTGGGCTTTCGGAATTGTACGCCGCGACTCTTCCAAAAGTTGAACGTCGAGGTGAGGAAACGATATATAATTCCCAGGAGCAATAGTAGAAATAGTTTCAAAATATCCCACATTTTGAATACACTTTCGAAATATATATTTCTCTAATTAGTCGCTGTTTTATTAGTTATAAAAATTGTGCATGTTCCTTTAGTTCCTTTTTAATCAATTTTAATCGCTTGTCACTTTGTGTAACTTGTGTTCTTAATCTCCTCTTAATCTCAGCGTTTCAAACCTCTCGTTTTTTCGCTGAATTATGAAATCCACTGATACGAAGTTCACTGGTATTGAAATACGACCAACATAACGTTTTTTTTTTTTTTCTTTTTTGTACGTTACTGAAAATAAAAGAAATTGGCAATGAATGACGCGCAATGGCTAACGAAAGTGTTTTGTACTCTTGCTCAGAAAATTTGGAGCTACTTCGTAACTAGCGTTTACTCCGATTCAAATTCTAACTAAGAATTGTTCTAAATCATCTGTTACTGAAATACAGTAACAAAGCAACAAGATTATAGAAGATCGAGAAAAGCCGATCGATTTCTTTTGAAACTTGTACGCTACAAAATTTTAATCGGCGTCATTTTACACGAAAAATCGTCGATGACTTCCACATTAATCCTCTGCCTTATAATTTCCTCTCCAGTATTCTCATTATAATCGTAACGTTATTTCAGGCGTAAAATATTCATAATTTACATTCACTAACGTTCAATTTTCAATTCGCTTCCAAAATAGATACAACTTGAATTTAAACTTCGAATTGAAATTTCGTGGAATTGCAATTTTCCTTTAAATCCGTAGTTTAAGACGAGCGTGACTCGATATTGCGAGACTTCCTAACATTCAACCATCGTCATACATAATGCATGCACACAGGTTTGGGTCAGCGGATATCGGTTGAACGTTATCGCCAGCGAGGTCAATAGGAAAACAAAGGATTACTCGCGACGTCGTGTGACGCGTGTCGCAGACGGTTCTCGAATTACGCAGTTCGATTTACGCCGATTGAATCTTCGGAGCTGTTTATAGAGGTGCAAGTTACTACACTTGTCGGCTGTGACTCACGAGCGCAGTATTTGCACTCTCTTGGCCTCTCCTGGTGAAATGTCAGCTCTCCTCGCACGCGGCTCCGACTTGACGTTTCGTGCGGGCACGTGATTATCAGCGGGTCAAGTCGAAACGAAACGAAACGAAACGTTAATTAAAAACGTCCCGTTTAACACCGTTTCGAAAACCAAATCTACGTCTCGCTAATCGATTCTCGTTACTACGGTTTTTAGCGAGTTTCTACGCGGCCGATCGACGTCACGCTTTGGAAATATTTATTGGAAATTACGCGCCACTGCTTTTTAAATAATTATTGGCGAATGTTAGATCGCGCGCGGAGTCACAGACGTGTGTACGTAATATGTATATAGGATACAAAAAAATGGGACACTGTCCACGATCATGAAAAATTCAATGTGTTGACACAGAATCGAGTGGTATCAAGTATTCTTGAATGACTTGAATTAACAAACAACGAATAAATGAATTCGTTGAGTCGGCAAATGAAATATTTGTTAAAACGACACATCTTTCACTATGGTTGACGAGATATTTATTTCTTCTGAATTGAGATCTCGTTTCTTAAAGATGTCAGGAGCTGCGGGAAAATACATTGAATGAAAAGCTAATTGCTGAATTATTCATCGTAGCGATAATCATCCACGATCTAACAACTGCAACTCCCAAGACACTCGACTGTACATGCAACTACCATTAATGTCTCCGATGATTGGCAATTGATCGTCACTCCAGGGGAATTGAATTAACGTTTAATTGAATATTTCGCACGAAGTTCGAACTTCCGACACGCGTGTAAAATACACCGAACAACGACACGTACTGTACGCGGAGCGATGCAATGTTAACGAGATGCGATTTAACGGGGTTAAGGCATACTGCACGAGTTTCAGGGACAGCGAGGAGAGACCTAGGGAAAGAAAGGAGAAGCAAAAGAAAGGGAAGAAGGAGGAAGGGAACGCGTACCGTTGCTGCTGAAAGGCTAAACTGCCACCGACGAAGAAGAGAAAATTATGAACGCACGCACGCACGCACGCACGCACGCATTTATACAGAGACGACCTTACGCCTCTGCCCCGGCTCGAGTTCGTATCGAAACTCCGTGTTCCGATCGGCAGCCGCTCGTTTATCTACAACGACGCTTTTTGTTCCCTCTCTCCTTCAACCGTGATAATTAATCCAGAGCTAGATATATATATGTGTGTTGTTGGGTTTTTACGCACGAGTTTCCGGTTTAAAAGACGATCGATCGTATTATAACGCGCGTGGCAGTTTCATTCGTTGCGTCGCCAACAAACTAGATTATCAATCATGAGTGTTTGAAGACTTCATTTCAAGATACGAAACGAATTTTTAAAGTTGAATCGCACCGACGTGCGACAATTAATTTCAATTCCGTTGCTCCCGCCGTATTTTCATTCGAATGTTGGCATCTCTATTTCCCCGAAACTGCATTATCGAATCTTTTTACAATTAGTAAGTCGTTAGAGCTTCCAGTGTTAAATTAACTTGGCGGTTAGACTCGTATTGCAGCGTGTTTCGATGCTGCAATATTATTTTATCAATACCGTTATCGCTTTATTATCCGACATTTAGTAATTTGAACGAAGTGGATTGAAATATTCAGATACGTACATAAAACGTATTTCTTCGTTCTAGAAATTCACTCTGATAAAAATAAATGAATTCGTACGAAAAATCGACAATCTTGGAATCTATAAAATATTTGGACGATATCGTACAAGAATGAAACAATCTCGAGTTTAACAATAAGTGGTTCCGCGATATCGTGCAAGAGTTGAAGGAAAAGGAACGTGCCTAAGCCGACAGTATAACACGGTTGGCAGAAGAAGAAGAAGAAAAAAAAGACTAATTCTTCGCGCGAACGCGCAGAAATTCCAGAATACGTTACGCGTTGGGATAACACGGTTTACGTTTCGTTTTGAACGCGTGTCTGTCGGCAATCAAGCACCAAATGAAAATAGATCTTACTTTTACTACGAGGTTCTGCGATCTCTCCCGCCTCTGCCTTTAGAATGAAAACAGATGGTCGAGCATGGGAAACCTGGTTCGACTTCTTCCTGCGTGCCTTTCTCCCTACCTTCTATCTCCTTATGATATATGAGACTGGGTTACCAGAAAAATAGAAGTAACGCGAATGGAAAACTCGTTGCCACAATATACATGCAACTACCGGCGCTACCTTTTCCACTTGCAGCGTGTTATTATTATTTATTGGACCGCTGAATTAAGATTGGATTACAGTTTTGACATCGAACATGTAAACGCTTGCGAGCATGTGGATTTTATGAGTAAGCCGTTACTGATTGGCACTCAGTGAAAGAATGTACCGATGATTCAATGGTAAATCAAAGTGATTATTAGAAAGAGAGATTTTGGATGATATTTCAGTGACGCTCGACCAAGCGAGCAATTTTCTATTTTTATCGATTATTTCTGAATGTTGTGCCATTTATTACAATTATTTGAATTTGTTGAAATTGAATTTTATCTTAAAATTCCTGATATAACTTTCACGTACGAAAGCTTTAGCGCACGTAAGCAGATACAATCGACAACTTGAAGATTCAGTGATTGTTGCGCAAAAATGACAAGGCGTATATTTGAGATAAGCTTGGCGAAATTGTTTTAAATAAATCCAATTTCATTTGCGATATCATAAGATACTCGTACGTGAAAAATGTACCAAAATTTGTAAAAATATTTCTTTAATCGATTTTGTGTGTTTTTTCGTATGTTGGTATTTCAGGTACCTCGTTTGTGGTGTTAGTCAACGATCTGACGTGAGAGGGCGCTAAAAGACTGTGTTTTAATCGGTATTTCAGAGCATAAAATTCCAGAATTATTTTTCTAAGATTTATTCATGTAAGATTTATTCCGCGTCTGTGATCAATGACGATGTATTAAACCTTATCAGAGATCTTATACATCTCGTCTGTGAATTAAATATTCAGTCGATAACTTACTAACGCAAGATATTGTAATTAAATTTCCTGCTATATCGTATGTAGATAGGAAGATTTATATTTCTCGATAGGGTGTTCTATTGCTCGCCGCAGTGCGGCTATAGATTTGAATTCAAATTCCCAGAATTGTTCTTAAACGTTCCAAAATAGTAGGATTTTATTTTAAAGTATTTTATTTTAAAAATATCGGATTTTATTTTAAAAATATCGTAATATTCAAAAATATGTCTTGTATTTCAGTCTTTCCAACAGTTGTAATGCTAGTATGAAATTTCGCTTGTTATTTTTAGAAAATTAATTTAAAAAAAAAAGAAAAAGATGAAATTAAAGATGCAAAAAAAAAAAATTCCAAATATGTATATGTGATTTAACTAAATAAAGTTTCATTGAAATATTCAAAAGAGAACAAATGCAAAGTAATTCTTCTATAGAAGTTGTGATATAATAATTTTTACAACACCACGATAATTTTATACATAATATTTTTTTTACGACTGCGATTACGATTACCATACTGCTGACGTTTAATTACATTTCCAGATTTCATTTGGAAAATTGCATTCAATGCATTATGTAATACAACGTGCAACAGTTGGCGTGAATTACAGGTGTATTATGAACACATTGTGCACAAGTCGTCTGGCCTAATATATAAAACGAGTGTTGTTCTCCTTTTGTAACTAATTTCCAACTCTTTCGAAACTTCAAGAATTCATCCGACAATGATATCGATTTACTGTCTCATTTTTCTCTTTTTTTTTTTTTTCTTTTAATAATTTAAATGTCAAAGAAATGACCAGATCATAGCCGAGCGACAAATTTAGCAATTAGCAATATTTAGAAAATTTTTGGGCGACACCGCATCGTGAATCACTGTCGACAGATAGATTATTCATTTAAAAGTGTCTCGTCTGTCTCGACTTTTTCTCTTCAAATAAATAGAAGATAATTTTGGGAAGTAATTCACGAGGGGAAAAAATTCTTGTGACACAATAGACAGGTGTTTTGTTCATTTCTTTTTTTCTTTTTTTTTTTTT